GCATTTAGGAATTATAAAAAAACCCAGAGTGAGGAAGACAAAATGATCTATAAGATTAGGCAGAAAGAGGCTAAGCAAGTTATAAGAGCTTCCAAATCACACACAGAAGAGAAAATAGCACAGTCAGTAAAAAAGGGGGATAAAACATTTTTAGATACATAAATGAGAAAAGAAAAGTAAAACAAGGATTAGTTAGATTAAAAACAAAAGAAGGAAGGTATGTAGAAGAGGATAAAGGTCAGGCTGACTGCCTCAATTAATATTTTTGTTCTGTATTTACAGAAGAAAATGAGGGAAAGGGACCTCAGTTGAGAAAAAGGATAAATGAGTCATTTATTACACGTGAGTTTACAGAGGAAGAGGGTCTATTTCAACTGTCAAAAGTAAAGACAAATAAGTCAATGGGACCTGATGGAATACACCCAAAGCTATTAAAAGAGCTTAGTGGTGTACTAGCAAAACCATTAACAGATTTATTTAACCAATCATTGTTAACAGGAGTAGTCCCAGAAGATTGGAAGTTAGCGAATGTTGTGCCCATTTACAAGAAAGGTAATAGGGAGGAGTCGGGCAACTATAGGCCAGTAAGCCTTACTTCAGTAGTGGGGAAAGTGATGGAAACCATGTTAAAGGATAGGATTGATGAACATCTAAAAACACATGGATTTCAAGATCAGAGACAACATGGGTTTACTTCAGGGAGATCATGCCAAACTAATCTTATTGATTTTTTGATTGGGTAACTAAAATTATAGATCAGGGTGGTGCAGTAGACATTGCTTACCTAGATTTCAGTAAGGCTTTTGACACTGTTGCACATAGAAGGCTTATCAATAAACTGCAATCTTTAAGTTTGGATTCAAATATTGTTGAATGGGTAAGGCAGTGGCTGAGTAACAGGCAACAGAGGGTTGTAGTTAATGGAATATATTCGAAGCTTGGACTTGTCACCAGTGGGGTACCTCAGGGATCTGTACTTGGACCCATTCTCTTTAATATTTTTATTAGTGATATTGCAGAAGGTCTTGATTGTAAGGTATGTCTTTTTGCTGATGATACTAAGATATGTAACAGGGTTGATGTTCCAGGAGGGATAAGCCAAATGACAAATGATTTAGGTAAACTAGAAAAATGGTCAGAATTGTGGCAACTGACATTTAATAATGCATCTTGGACGTAAAAACCCAAGGGCAGAGTACAGAATATTTGATAGAGTTCTAACCTCAACATATGAGGAAAGGGATTTAGGGGTGATTATTTCTGATGACTTAAAGGTAGGCAGACAATGTAATAGAGCAGCAGGAAATGCTAGCAGAATGCTTGGTTGTATAATGAGGAAAGGGATTTAGGGGTGATTATTTCTGATGACTTAAAGGTAGGCAGACAATGTAATAGAGCAGCAGGAAATGCTAGCAGAATGCTTGGTTGTATAGAGTATTAGCAGTAGAAAGAGGGAAGTGCTCATGCCATTGTACAGAACACTGGTGAGACCTCACTTGGAGTATTGTAAACAGTACTGGAGACCGTATCTTCAGAAGGATATTGATACCTTAGAGAGGGTTCAGAGAAGGGCTACTAAACTAGTTCATGGATTGCGGGATAAAACTTACCAGGAAAGTTTAAAGGATCTTAACATGTATAGCTTGGAGGAAAGACGAGACAGGGGGGATATGACAGAAACATTTAAATATATAAAGGGAATTAACACAGTAAAGGAGGAGACTATATTTAAAAGAAGAAAAACTACCACAACAAGAGGACATAGTCTTAAATTAGAGGGACAAAGGTTTAAAAATAATATCAGGAAGTATTACTTTACTGAGAGGGTAGTGGATGCATGGAATAGCCTTCCAGCTGAAGTGGTAGAGGTTAACACAGTAAAGGAGTTTAAGCATGCGTGGGATAGGCATAAGGCTATCCTAACTATAAGATAAGGCTAGGGACTAATGAAAGTATTTAGAAAATTGGGCAGACTAGATGGGCCGAATGGTTCTTATCTGCCATCACATTCTATGTTTCTATGTTTCTATGTTTCTAAAACCCCTCACCCTAACAGAAGCGGTTGGCGAATCAACACTTTGATGCCAGGAGGCATCATGGGCTCACCAACAGGGGTCCCCTGAGACCACCAGTACAGCACCACCCCACCACCTCCACACCAACCAACTCTGCTCCATTCCGGCCAACACCAGGGAACCCCCCACCACCATCCCACTACAATGGCAGAGCAAACATACAATGCCATACCTGCCATCAGTGGGGGCATATGTCCCGGGAGTGCACCCAGAATCGGAGTAGACAGGCGTGGAACCAAGTGCGGCAAAACTCCACACCAAGGGCAGCAGCTCATTACTACCACGCAGAACCTGACAACTCCGAGCTTGTAAGCCTGCAGACCGAGGAACCGTTGGGAGTTTTGTATGAAGTGATGTCGGTGCAAGCTTTGGACAACAGGCAGCATCACCGTCAAGTTGTGTTTGTGGGGGGGAAAGAAGTACAGGGGCTGAGGGACTCGGGAGCCACTTTAACCCTGGTTGCTCCACATTTGGTTCCAGATACGGCCCACACTGGCGGATCAGTGGCTGTCAGGGTAGCAGGGGGAGCCATGTACCGTCTACCCATTGCCAAGGTGCATTTGAACTGGGGTGCTGGGGAGGGGGTTGTGGAAGTAGCGGTAATGAAAAAATTACCGGCAGATGTTGTGTTGGGGAATGACTTGGGCCAGATGACTTCAGCTTTCCTACCTCAGGCTCCTTCGCAAGAAGCTCATCCTGTAACTACCCGGCAACAGGCTCGCACCATGGTACCACCAGCACACTCTGAGGCTCAGGTAAGAAACCATGACCCCCCCTTGACGCATATGACCTGGGACACCCCGACCACTTTTGAAGCCGAGGTCCAGACAGACCCCACACTGCAGGTGTACCGAGATAGGGTAGACACGGACCAGGTGGGGCGGGAGGGGGAACGGTACATTTGGGAAAACAGGTTGTTGTACCGGGTAGCTGAAAGGGCGATAGGAAGCTCTGTGACCATCCAAACTAAACAGCTGGTAGTACCCCAGAAGTATAGACCTGAGTTACTGAGAATAGCACATGACATCCCTCTGTCCGGCAATTTAGGGATGACCCGTACCCGGTATCGCTTAACTCACGCTTTCTTCTGTTCCGGGATTTCTAAAGATGTAAGACACTATTGTACCTCCTGTGATGTGTGTCAGCGGGTAGGCAAGAGAGGGGATCGCCACAAGGCGAAACTGTGTCCCCTACCTATAATTGAGGAACCGTTCAGCTGTGTGGCTGTGGATATAGTGGGACCGCTACCAAAACCCAGCCCATCTGGGAATCGGTATATACTGACCGTGGTGGTCTACGCCACCCGGTACCCCGAGGCGATTGCCCTAACCAATATTCATGCGGAGACAGTGGCCGAAGCCCTGATGAAAATCTTTTCCAGAGTAGGGTTCCTGCAGGAAATTGTCTCCGATAGGGGGACACAATTTACGGCCGAGGTTACCCAGCAGTTATGGAAAATATGTGGCATTAAGCTATCAGATGTTATCAGACGCCACCCGTCTGCCTACCACCCCCAATCCAACGGATTGTGTGAGAGGTTCAATGGTACCCTAAAACAGATGCTCCGTACATTCGGAGAGACCCATAAGGACTGGGAACGATTCCTTCCCCATCTGTTGTTTGCCTACAGGGAGGTACCCCAAGAATCTACCGGCTTCTCCCCGTTCGAACTGTTATTTGGGAGAAGGGTACGGGGACCGTTGGACCTCATTAGAGAGCATTGGGAGGGGGAGAGTAGCGCAGATGGGACCCCTATTGTACCATACGTGCTGGCGTTCCGGGATCGCCTGAAGGAATTAACTCAGGCAGTGCGCACTAACCTCCAGGCCGCCCAGCAACGACAGTGCCATTGGTATGACAGAGGGGCCAGAGACCGTAGTTTTCAAGTGGGGCAGAAGGTGCTAATCCTCAAACCTGTCCGCACAGACAAACTACAGGCCGTCTGGCAGGGCCCATACCAGGTGGTAGAGCAGAGATGCGATACCACCTATGTGATCGGCCCATGCTCCGGGGTAGGGAAGCGACGCATGCTCCATGTGAACATGCTCAAACCCTACCACGAGCGAACTGAGGACGTGGCAGCCATTTGCACGCCCGCCTCGGAGGATCAGGAGAACTTACCTCTCCCAGATCTGTTAGAGCAGGAGGAGCAGAAGGAGCCCTCCCAGGGGGTTCAGCTGGGGGAGCGGCTAAGTCCTCAAGAGCGCACCCAGGTACAAGAACTGATAGCGGCGAAGGACGCCACCTTTTCTAACTTACCTGGGTACACTCCACTAGCCACTCACCGAGTAGAAACCCCGGGACAGCTCCCCATGCGACAAACTCCATATCGGATTCCAAAAAATCCGTGCGGGATCATATGAGGAAGGAGATTGAGGAGATGTTGCAGTTGGGGGTTATCGAACACTCCGGTTTTGTGTGGACTACCGGAGGCTGAACGACAAAACCGTGTCGGACGCTTACCAGATGCCCCGGATAGACGAACTGCTAGATAGGATGGCCAGAGGTCAGTATCTCACGACAATAGATCTTTGTAAGGGATACTGGCAAATTCCACTAGCCGAGGACGCCATCCCCAAGTCGGCATTGTCACCCCGTTTGGCATGTACCAATTTCGAGTCATGCCATTCGGGATGAAAAACGCTCCCGCGACATTCCAGCGGATGGTGGATCGGCTACTGGACGGGTTCCAGGATTATGCGTGTGCATACCTGGATGATATTGTCATCTACAGCCAGACCTAGGCTGATCACCTACAACATATAGGAACCGTGATAGATCGGATTGGAGAGGCAGGGCTTACCTTGAATCCCAGCAAGTGCCACATAGGGATGGCAGAGGTACAATACTTAGGACACCGGGTAGGGAGCGGGCAACAGAAGCCTGAGCCCGCAAAGATTGAAGCCCAGAGGCCTACCCCTAGGACTAAAACCCAAGTCCTTGCCTTCTTAGGTACCGCTGGGTATTATAGGAAGTTTGTGCCCAATTACAGTGCCCTGGCCAAGCCCCTGACTGACTTGATGAAGAAAAACCTGCCCAGGCAGGTCATCTGGGCCCCAGAGTGTGAACAGGCATTCAACCAACTGAAGACGGCTCTGACCAATGCCCCTGTACTTGCTGCTCCTGATCCAACTAAACGTTTTCTTGTCCACACAGACGCCTCAATGTTTGGATTGGGAGCAGTACTGAGCCAGGTCGGAGCAGATGGCGAAGAACATCCCGTAGCATATTTGAGCCGGAAATTGTTACCCCGAGAAGTGAGCTACGCCGCCATCGAAAAAGAATGCCTGGCCGTGGTGTGGGCCCTGAAAAAGTTACAACCATATCTCTATGGGCAACCCTTTTCCTTGCTCACAGATCACAACCCGTTGGTGTGGCTGAACCGTGTGGCTGGAGACAATGCCAGGCTGCTGCGCTGGAGTTTAGCGCTGCAGCCTTTTGACTTTACTATCCATTATCGCCCAGGAAAACAAAACGGTAACGCCGACGGGTTATCTAGACAAACAGACCTTGAGAAGTGATCTGTGAGTACTCCTTCGGACATCCCCAAGCCGATCCGTTGGGATTAGACTGTGTATGCCGGCTTGGTTCTGGGGGAGCATTGTGGCAAACCTAGCCACTTGGACTATATCAAGAGACTATACCTTTAAGGGTTGCCTATATGTTGGTGGGGATATGTGTTCATCTATGTACAATGTATGCGGGCTATAATAACTGTGTATTCCCTGTATTTGCTATCCGCCGAATGTAGATAGCTATTTGTATGAGGTTTTCCTTTCGTTTCACGAACGGCACTTTGGCGGGCCATACGTGAACCGAAAACACTACACCTAATAGCCCACACACTTAGAGGCGTGTGGCGCTTGTTAACTGATTGCAACAATGTTGCAATCGGTAATTAGAGGCTCTCCTAGGTGGCCGCCGTTCGACTACCAACCATGCGGCGGTCCGCCATCTTGGATCCTTTGTTCCCTCAGCGGTGTTAGGTCGTCGAGCGCATGGTACTAAAACCGGCTATTCGATGGCGCGAACACCGCTGAGCCTCCAGGACGTTCGGGAGTTCCGGGCCATTTGGTATTTCATTCCCTGGAAGGCAATCGGTCTTTTTAATATGTTTCTCAATAAATGTGTTTTTCGTGTGGCGTTCGGTTGTTTTAGCTGGGATCTGAGCGGTAATCTCACGAATGATGCGCTCAGACCCCAGCTATCTACCGAACGTCCATTCGTGCAAAGAGACTGCATATTCGAAAAGTTATGTATTTTAATATAAATTGTCGGTTCTGCTGCACGGAGGGATAATCCACTTAACAGTATATTCCAGGAGGAGGATCCCTCTCGTGCAGCAGTGCCTGATGGGAGAAATGCTTTGTACTGTAAGTCCTCCATGTAGTCCCCTCTGGGAATGTCCCTGGGAAGGGACTCAGGAAACCCCTTGCATGGGGACTTGTATAAATTGTGAAGCAGAATTAAAAGACCTCAGTTGACTCTCAGAACTGTGTTTCGTCCGGTTACTGGGAGGTTTGGGATATTGCCTTGTTGTTTCCAGCGCTTGACTGTGGATTACTTCCTGAACCAGCGGAATTCGTGGATTTAATATTGGCATTCCGCTACAAAACACATCACACTTTTTTAAATTGCAAAAATCATTTTAGAGTCATGATCAAGGAAAAAAGGGCCGCCCCGTGGTGCGGAACGGTGGGGTCACCAGAGCGCAGTCGGTCGGCCGAAGTAAGGGTGGTGACGGAGTGCCGGGTAAGGGAGGGGGAATACGGTGTACCGGTACCGGGGACATCTGACGGGGCAGGAGAACAGTTAGATGTGTGGCAATATTCCAGGCGTGGCGCAACAAAATGGGCACGTGTCCTTCGCAGGGACATTGGGGGGGCACTTGAAGGCGGAGGATAAGATTTGATAAAGGGGATTTAAAAAAAAAAATTCCTGTCTTCCGCTCGAGGAGTTCATTGATTTAAAAGGGGTGGTTCCTAATGATGGTGCAGGAAATGCGCTCTTTCCGGGGGCTGCCGGCGCACCCCCAGGAGGTGCGGTGCTGGCTGGACAGAAGAAAAGTCAGTGCAACTGGGGACCGTCGGGTAGGCTTTGATACGGGTGTTCCGGAGGCGGTGGGAGTCACGTTGTCAACTGACGCGTCAAGAAACGAAAACCTAAGGCAGGAAGGGTACTCGGCAGGGCTTCAGCCCCGCGGTTGTGGCTCGGAGCGGCACCGGTGATGATCAGTGCATTGCTGCTGTGGCTAAGGCAGTAAGCCTCCCATGAATGCGCTAGTTTTATGGCTGGGATTGTTGAGGGGGTTTACGCTATTCCATTCAAAGTCGAGGGACCAGGAAAAGTGGTGGGCGAATATCAAGTCCATGAGGGAACTTTGGTTTGCAAGTGGTCACACGAGGAAGCCCAATTTGGGGGATGGCGAGTCCGTTACATCCGCCCCATTAGCGGACCTGTGGGTGTCTCCATGGGGGGTGGTCCCCTAGAAATGGGCGGGCAAGTTCCGTCCGATACAAAACTTATCGCACCCGAAAGGGGCATCGGTAAATGAGGACATCGCTGCGGAACTGTTCTGTATCGTTGGCATCATTCGGCCTTGCCGTCGAGTTGGTTTGGGGGAACAGGACGCGTTCGATTATTGGCGACCCTTCCATCTTTTGGGTTGCATGTTTGCAGGTTCCTATTGGTAACCTCTACTTGCCAAGGGGCAGTTCCATTCATGTTCCTACTTCGGGAAGTTGGATCCGTCTGGGAGTGGGAGGTGAAAGAGGAATCAGAAAGGGGTTCCTTAGTACATTATCTGTAAGATAGCTTGCTGTGTGGGCTCGGCTGGGCCGGGCCGTTGTGGACATACCTTACGGTCGCGGGAAGGCAGTTTCAAGTTGTATGTCGGGTTAGTCGCGAGGACTGGATCGGTAGCCATTTCATGGCGAAGGCTACTTGTGGAGCCTTTGCAGGTGGTATCGAGTTGTTCACGGATACCTCTGGGAACATAGATTCCGGGGCATACCTGGAAGGCAGGTGGTGCGCAGAGCGGTGGTGGGAGGCATGATAGGTAAGTCCTCTTATTCGAAGTTGGCATCTTTTGAGTTATTTCCATTGGGAGTGGCTGTGGCTCTAAAAGGTGAAGGATTAAGGGATGAAAAGTCATAATTCACGCACAATACAGCGGGGTTCATGTGGTTTACCATCCAGCCGGGTCCTCGGTTCAGGAGGTACGCCGATGGCGGCGATTCGTATCACTGTTCAGGTATCGGGTGCAGGCACACCACGTGCCTGGTTGGCGGAAGGTAGGGGCTGGTTACTTGGCTCGCGCACAAGGGGACAAGCTGCGAATGGCGGCCCCGGGGGGCGCGGGAGGAGGGACAGTCCGGTCTGGAGGAGATGTGGCAGCTCGAGCTATGCTTGGAGGATCGATACAGAATCCTATGGCACCAGGCACAGGGACTGCCTATGTGAACGTTTGAGATATGTGGGACAAGGCGGTTGGTTTCACTGTGGGGGCCCAGTCAAAGGAGGGACGAAGGGATACCTTGCTGTGGTTCCTAAGCCGTTTGTTCGTTCAGCGTTAGCTCCATCGGCAATGGACAGGAGCATGGCGGCATTGTTGTTAGGGTTCAAACTGACCGATTGGGAGGAAGTGATGGAACGTTGTCACGTCCGTCAGGCATCGCAGGTTTTACGGAGAGGTATGAAATATGTCGGTGCCGGGCAACGGGTTTCCTTGGGTAACGCAACGCCTGGTGGTGTATTACTCTACTTTTGCAGTGAGTTTGCTTGCGGTGGCCTGGTGAGTGCCTTCGGGCAGGTGTTGGGGGGTTCTACGCTCGGTTGTCGAACCTCAGTCGGTTAAGGTAACGATTCAGTAGGGTTGTTCAAGAACGGATGTGTCTGGTAAAGGAGGTTTGGTAAAGCTATATTCCCTGCCGGGGTCAGGGGTACGCCCGGTGTTAAGCGCATCATGCTACTTGGAGCTTTGCCCGGACATCCCGGGTGGCTTACTGGTAAAAGGGGACAGATCGGTGCTGTCAAGATTCAATTCCCGCAGGTGTTTGTTCGGAGGGGTTTGACAATGTTGAGTTTGGATCCCGGGCACTTTCCCGGGCCCATTCTTCCCGGATGATGGCGGTAACAGAGGCGCCCCGCCTGGTTTTAAGTGAGGACCTAGGGAAACGTTTAGGCAGGTGGGAGTCAGTACGGTTTAAGTCCTGTTTCAGCCCAGTCTATTTGGTTTAATGGCTATGGACATATGGGTTTGTGTTTGGGGCTATGCCTTGTCGCTAATTACTTTCGTTTCAGGTTTGGTGACATGGTTGGTGGGTCATTCTTATATCTAAGGGGCACAGATGGGAGCTGTGTTTCGGTTCAAACGCAACTGGGCTTTCCTTTGGAATTGGTGGAGCAGGAGTGGTTTTGGTTTTCGGGGATTTTGGTGGCAAGACATTAGGGGAGAAAATTTTCCGGGAGGTAACAAGGGGTACTGTCCAGGACATTCTGGATATTGGCATGGTCCCGGAAAAGGAATTGATCAGGTGGAGGCAGAGGGAGGTGGACCAGCTATGGGAGCTGGCCACGGGTGTGGTGGTGGTGCGGTCCGAGATGGTTCCTTGGTTACATTGGAGACATACTACGTACCCGGCCGTGGTAGCTCGGTGTCGAGGACGACTTAATAAAAAATTGATGGCGGTATTTATCAGATGTGGGGGCGGTGTAACAGTGAGACACAACGAATTGGGAGGAAAGCTCCCTGGGTACTCCAGGTGGGATGGGGTACATTTTTGGATGTAAGGTGTGATCTGTTTAAATTGGGCCTTCAGGAAGGCATTCAACAGGCCTTATTCCGGTGTGGTGGGGGTCGTTCAGGAGCTTTAGGTGTCAAGTCCTGAGCTGTGGCGGGGAATGGCCTGGTTAAATCGGAGGGTAGATGGAGGAGAAAGTGGGCATCCTGAGGTTTAGTGTGGATTGGGCAGTGTTGCACGTGGTTGGTAGGTTCGAGCCCGTCGGTGGCTCCGAACCTGGGGGTGTGGTGGTGTCTTGGTACACCCCTACAATGGATATGGTGGGTAGCGGTGTCTTGGTACACCCCTACAATCGATATGGTGGGTAGCGGTGTCTCGGTACACCCCTACAATTTAACCTGGTGGAAA